AATATATATATATATATATTTTTTTCTTCCTTTTTGTTTTCTGTGGTATTGGGGATTAAACCCAGGGTTTTCATACTGTGCTACACCCCCAGCTCTTATAGTTTTTATTTTGAGACAGTCTTGCTAAGTTGCCCAGGCTGGGCTTGAATTTGCAATCCTCCTGCCTCAGCCTCCCACAGTTCTGGGGTTATAGGTGTGTGCCACTGTGCCTAGCTGCACCCTTCATTTTAAAGCTGTCATAGTTGTCCACTCTATGGACAAGACCTTAAGTTGGCTACACTGAGCATATGTATGTCATGTTCATCACCAAGCAGATACATAGGTGTATTGCGTCCTTGTTGCAGTACATGAAGTTTATATTTGTAATCCCGTGGAAAAGTTATAGGAATTCTAGCAAGTTAATTCTAACCTACTCCCAGTGCAACCCATGGCTTAAAGACACAATTATATATCCAAAATGGTAGGGAGCCAAGGGTGTCCTGAGTCCTGCTACGAGGATGGTTAACCGAAACAAAGGCCTTGATCCAGGGCTGAACCTGGGTTTTATTAATTCATGAAGAAAGGAGTGGCTTGAGGATGAGTGACTGTGAGAATGGCGGGAAGTACGTGAGTGCCGTGAGCTGGGCTGAGGAGGAGGCCTTAAATCACCTCTGCCATGTGTAGAGAGAAGGATATGCAGGAACACAATCGAGATGGCATCTAAAGTTTTGGGGTCAGTACTTCAGCTCTGATGTGTAATCTTTTATGCCCTGGGAAGTCATAGCCTCTTCTCTCAAGGCTCAATCACAGCCCAGCCCACAGCGTGGAGCATGGCTCTCCATCCTGATGGGCTCACACATGTTTATTTGGGAGCTAGGGAGGGCGGGGTAACACTGGTCTGTCCCTTAGGCTGGACTAATTTGCATTGTTTATTGAAGGGATAAGGGAAAGTCCTAGCCGGCTCTGTACATATCAATACGTGGAAATAGGGCCAGGTTTAGCCAAAATGGAGACAATCGCTCTTCTTTCAAGGAGAGTTGCTCACGTGGCCCTCCACATAGGTGCGCACAGTCATCCCCATTAAACACACAGGAGCAGCAAGGACCAGCGGGTTAAGTGACTCACCTAAGCCCACACAGCTATCTGGGCAGGATTCAACCCCATGTCTCGGCAGCTACTTTTAACCATGCTGTTTAGCCACCTGGGCATTTCCCCTTCATGAGCTCCCCCTGTTTGTTTCTGTGCAGAAATTTTGAAGAATTAGAGTCCCGTGTGTGCATTTTACCAGTTCCACTTGGAAGAAACTTTATTTGGGCGGAAGTACAGTGGGGCGGGCAAAGTGAGGAGGGTCAGTCCTTGCCACTCTACTTCCTAAGGCGCTGGATGGGGCACCCCTTCCTGCACAGTCACGGACACAGTGCTGGGCACAGAGGGAAGGGACTTGCCCAAGGCCGCACGGTGAAGAGGGTGCACAGGACTGGGGCTCCGATTCTAGTTGCTCACCCAGGGCATGAACAAGACCCGAAGGATGCACAGGACATAGGGATTAGAGGCCTAAGCTCCAAAGGGCAGGGGCCGGGCCAGTTTCCTGACTGCTGCATCTGTCCCCAGTCTGGAGAGCACCTGACACACAGGAAGTGTGAATGGACAAGGAGGAGGGTCCCTGAAGACTCCAGGAGGAGGCTCTGATAGGCTGAGGAGGCGGCGAGTGGGGTTTGGCCCGTGGAGAGGAGTAGATGATTCAGTGTGGGTAGATGTACGGAGGAAAGAGGCCGCAGGGAGGGCAGCGTGGGACTCTGGGAAGAGCCACCAGACAGAGGCCTGGGAGTGGCTAGAGGAGGCCCAAAGACGTGCAGGCCTAGGGGCAGCCCCCTCCCCCAGCAGCCTGGGTAATTCCCGAGAGCCAGCAGAAGGAGGAAGTGCACCAGCCGCACTCAGCTGGTGAGTGGGAGGCAGGGCTTGGCTTCCCTCCTGACAGCCCTGGAGTTGTGCAGCCCTGGCGCCGCCCCCACCCCTGCCTGGCCCCTGCTGCTTCTGCACATTGGCTCTGGGAACCCAAGAGTCCAGGAAGCAGCCGTCATGGCCAGGAAACAGAGTAGGTCAGTCATGGAGGATCCCCGGCGAAAGTGGGCCTGACGTGTCTCCTTTGGAGACCAGACTGTGAGCTCTGGAGGGTGGAACTGCAGTTTCCATCTTGTCCCTTCCTGGCAAACTCCTTCCCATGCTTCAAGACCCAACCCAAATGTCCCTATCTGGGAAGGTGTCTGAGAATCCTCTGCCTTTGTATGTATATTGACAAATGCTTACTGTATCCTCCCAGCTGGGCTCAGAGTTGCTGGCATAATCCACTCCCTTTTGCTGAGCAGCACAATGGGCTCAGAAAGTCACTCAAGAAATAGCGAACGGGCGGGTCTCTGGGACACTGAAGCTCCTGGCTCTCTGACCTCCTGGTCAGGCTGTTTCAGAGTCTGTTTCCTCGTCCATCTAGAAAGTCCCCATGGGCCTGGGCTGTGTCCCTGGAGACCTGGCCCACATGAGGTCCTGACCATGAACTAATTGCCCCTCCCTCCCTGCCTTCGTCGTACTGAGGATCCTGGAGGCAGGTCATAAATCCTCATGACAATCTTGATCCTGGTCTAGGTGCCATCATAAACTTGCAGGGTGACCTTGGGCGAGTCACTTCTAGTCTCTGGTCCTCAGTTTCCTACCATTAGAAGGAAATGTTTAGAGACAGCTCCTTTAGCTTCTTCCCTGTCCTAAAATTATGTCTTTTGTTACAGAACACAGGTATCCAAACTTTTGGCTTGCCTGGGCCACACTGAATGGAGAGGAATTGTCATGAGCCACCTATAAAATGTATAATATAGTGCATATAAATAGCAAATCTACCTTTTAAAATATTTTAGCTTATCAAAGTATTTTATGAAATAACACAAGCCCAAGTTTAATGATTAAATAGGAAAACTTTTGTGTCTGCTTAGCAACAATAAACCCCTGTCTTCACAAGCACACACATGCAGGCAGGTTGAAATCCTGTTGTTATAATCTCTGCATTGTACTGGTCAAGTCACACAGCTCAGTAACATTTGGTACACACGGGTCTCAGTCCCACTGTGTGTGGTAAACACAGGAGGTGGAGTCAGCCCTGCACTGTGCCCTCCTCTACAGTGTTGTGTTGTTGCCTACGCACTCTACACTCGAGGACCATGTGATCTAGCCAAGAGAAATAGCGCTAAAAATCACACCATAATGTTAACAGTTCGTGGCCTTGTGGGGCCTTATTACTAACTGTTCAAAGCCACATAGAGCCATGGGTCAGACAAGCCTGCTCTAGGACAGACCATGCCATACCCTCCTCTCTCAGTTACCCCTGTTAGCATCTACAATAGTGTGGTACATGTCACAATGAATTAACCCATAGGATGCATTATTATGTTTTTATTCCCTGCCCCTACCCTCCCTTTAACTGATGCCTTACTAAAAGTCTATACTTTATTCAGGCTTCCCTAGTCTTTCCCCAGTGTTGTGTGGTTGTGTGTGTGTGGGTTTGAGATGCAGTCTTGGTAAGAAGTCAAGCTGGCCTTAAATTTACTCTATATCCCAAGTTGGCCCATACTTGGACTATTCCTGCCTCAGCCTCCCTGAGTAGTGGGATTACAGGTGTGTGCGGCTGCTCCCAGCTTTCCAATGTCTTTTTTCTATCACAGAATCTTATCTTCTTAGGTTCTTCTTGGCTGTGTTGGTTTCTTGGACTTTCCTTGTTTTTGATAGTGTGTTGGTTTGGGGCTTATTTTGCAAGCTGAAACAATACAATACAGGACACATTTTACAAAATTATTTATAATAGTCACCCAAAGAATGATATACAAGAGAGTGCAGGAAGTCTGTTCACATACTCAAGAAATCTAGCCGAAGGCCTGGATCCCATGGCAATGTCTTGTATGAGCCCAGCTGAAGACCTAGAGCTCATAAGATGGCCTCCCACAAGTCCAACGGGAGGCCCAGAGCCCATAACAATATCTCATGCAGGCCTGTTTTATGGATCTGTGCTGTGAAGGCCCAAAGGTCAGTGGCGGAATCTAGGAAGTCTGGCAAGTCAGCTGGATGAAGGATCTGTGCTAGCAGGCTGAAGGATCTACACTGGAGGCAGGAAGCAATGGGCAAAGTAAGAACCAGAGCTCCCCTGAAAAGTACCACAGCCATTCACAGCAACAGTGAGGTTCTGAGTTCCCATCAGGAAAGGCAATGTAGCAAGCTTCTCCAGGAGACTGGCAGTGTACCACTTTCCCCTCTGCAGCGCGGAAGCGATGCTCAAGGTGAGGACCAGGGCTCCCCCAAAGTAAACTGAAGCTATTGTAAGTGCCAACAAGGTCCCGAGCTCCTCGAAGGATGAAAACAGCTGAGTTCATCAGGAAAGCCGACGTGACAAGCTCCTCCAAAACAACCAGCAGCTCCTTACAGCCTCCACCAGCTCCCAACAGCCTAACTTCTTCTCCAGTTCTGCCCTTTACGCTGCAGGCAACAGTCCCCAGGTGGGCCTCCCACACCCAGCACCACGTTTACTCAGTTCAGCTGGGGGTTATAAGTTGACCACCAGTTGTCAGTCCACTACAGATGGCCTGGACAGTTTTGAAAAATATAGATGTGCTGTGGAATGCACCTCATTTGGAATTTGTCTCGGGGTTTTCTCACAGGTAGACCTGGTTTGAACTTCTGGGAGGGAGACTACTTGATGCCATTCGCGTCTCATCACGTCAAGGGGACACGATATGGAGATGAACGAGGGCTGTGGTGTCACCTTGGTCCCCGCGTGGAGGTGGTACTGTGCCTGTCAGCTTTCCCCCTAGTTACCCCTCCGACCTATCCCACACCCCCTCATCCCATGCCTGGGGATGGGGATGGGGGCTTAAGCTCCCCTTCCCCAGGGCGGGTGTAAGAGAAACAGTTTTCCTTCTGTAGTATCTATTCTTTACAGTCCTGGGAGCTCGGGAATTGGAGACGGGGTGAGGGGCGCTCTGCGAGGAGGGGTGCTGCGGCTCTGGCCTCTCCTCGGATCTGAAAGGTAGAAACCCTGGGAATCACAGGATGCCTGGGCAGGGGCAGGACTGTGGCCTTGGGGTCCTGGTTCAGTCGAGCTTGAGTTCTGCCTGGGTTTGAATTCAAGATCTCGCCCTTCCGCACCCTGCCGCGTCACCTCTCGGAGCCTCAGCCTTCTGTTCCACATAGTGGGGACAGAGGCATCTCCTCCTTCGTTGTGTTGGGAAGAATGAATGATTCGCTACGCTGAGAGCCCCGAGGACAGGGTGCTGCTCAGGAGACTGCATGCACGGTGCCTGTGAGCTGTGACCGTGGTTATTTTTGTAATTCTCTACAGAGCCCTCTGGTTGCACTGTCTCCTTGCTCAGCAGGTCTCAGCCCCTCTGATCTGTGGGGTCACAGCTCTTGCTGCAGGTTTCCGGCCTAACCTCTGCGCTCTGCCCTCTGGTCAGGCCAGGCAGATCAAGGGCCCTGACTCCTTTCATCTGTCCTCACGGACATTCTGGGACCTAGCGGAAGGAGGCTTGGGCTGGAGGGGGCTGCTCTGCTCAGCAGAGATGCTCTGGGAACTTGGGAGGCGGGTGTCTGCCGCTCTCTGGGCCACTCCTGTGCCCTGAGGGAGTGATGTGGTGAGTACTGAGTGTTTGGCACTTGGCCTTCATCTGAGCCTGGAGTGGTGCCCAGCTCCCATTTCACAAGGGCAAGGCAGGTTCTTTCTGTGTGCGATGGCCTTGCGTGTCTACAGACTCTGGGCTGGGTAGAAACACCCTTGACCTCAGGTTTCTGACCTGTGACGTGGCTCCCAGGAAGCTGCGAGCGAGGACTTGGGTCCTGCTGGCTTGTGCCCAGTGGTTAGCGCCAGCTGTACATCAGCACCCTCCCGCCTTCCCGGGTGACCGGGCAGGTGACCTGCTGGAGGCTGCTCATCTCTCCTGGTGGCTGGCCCCTGAGAAGGATGGGCTCACCTGCACCTAGCTCTTCTCTGACTCAAATGCAGCCAGGAATGCTTCCCCATGTCTCAGGCTTAGGCCTTCGGGCAGGCTTCTTGGCCTCCTGCCCCGGCACAGGTCTGTGCCCGCGCACACGCGTCCTGGCAGCCAGGCCCTCTGCCCAGGCTGGATCCCTGCTGGGGCTCAGGGTTGCCATCACCATGGAGGCCTCTGACGCAGCCCCCATCCCAATCTCTGACACATTCCCCACCTCCTTGCCTGCCATGTCTAGGGTCCCCCAATGGTTACCAGGAGGAAGCCAGGCCTGAGGCCTCTGCTTTTGTTTCCCCTCAGGCACAGAGAGGCCCAAGGACCCTTGGGGCACTTAGCCACAGTTCTATTTCCCAGCCCCCCACTGTGTCCCGCTCTATTAGCATGAGCCTGCTCAAGTTTCAGCTGCCAGTTGCAACCTCTCCTCAGAGCCCTCTTCCCTCCGGATAACCGATCACCCCCTCCCTGTCTTGCCACCTGCCTCCTGCAACTGGGCACCAGATGCTTGCTCACCACAGCATCCCTAGTGCCTAGGAGATGCTCAGGGAGTATCACAGGGACAGGGACCAGGGCCTGTAGTTGCATGAGGCAGGTCAGGACATCTCTGTGTAAACTGTACAGTACAGTCCTGAGTCCTGAATACTGAATACTGAGTCTGGTGGTTTCAAATAGACTCCCAGCAAGCCATGTGGGGAACAGCAGGGCCAGGCCGGATTTCCCAGAGTACCTGGCATGGGTCTGGCTTCCCAGTCTCTGTTTCAAGAATAAGCTGGGCTGGAGCTGGGCACAGCAGATTGGCTACCACTACCAGGACCCCGGGTAAGATGTGGTCAGTGCCCCTGATCCTATGATTTGAGACAGCTCTGGTTTGTGGGTCCACTGCCAGTTGTGTGGGGCCTGTACTCCTGTGTCCTGCTCCCCTCCTGCCCTGGCTTGTAGCTTTGACCTGGTGGAGGAAAAGAAAAAAGATGAATTCTGGCGACAGAGGCCTGTATACCTCCAGTGCTCTCCATCTCAACAACATCCACATTAATAGCATCTCTACCTGCTGGTACCATGGGTTGGGAGATGGTCCCCGTTGGTGTGCCAGGCCTGGCCTTGTCCATTAATAGTGACGAGTGAGCTAAGCAAAAAGGTTTCTCTTTCACTAACAGAATATGTTTTTTTGAGACAGGATCTTGCTATTTAGTTCAGGTTGGCTTGGAAGTCACTATGTAGCACAGGCTGGCCTTCAACTCTCAGTGATTCTCCTGCCTCAGCCTTCTGGGGGCTGGGATAATAGGCGTGCAGCTAACAGAACATTTAAAGCAAAACAATGCACAGAATACCAACCCAGCCCAGCAACTCTTCCTGTAGTTAATCCTAGAAGTTAACGGGGTCTACCAAGCATGGAAGCGATGAGTCTACTCAGCCCCAGAGAGGCAGGGTCATACAGCCAGGGAAGGGGAGGTGGAATTTGAACTCTTGTCTGTGGATCCCAACTCTGTGTGTTCTCCTCAGCCAACCAGCTGGTACCCGGTCTGTGCTGGGCAAGGGCCAGGCCATGGTCCCTACCTTCAAGGTGGGGCAGGCACATCCAGAATGGAGCTGGGATGTGCCTCCATCAGAGGTGTGTCGGGAAGCATGTCCTGGAGGAGCTGGCATTTACTCAGGACCCTGAAGGCTGGGGAGGGTTCAGGAGGTGACAGTAGAGGAAGGGTGGAAGAGGTGGGCTTTTCTACCAGGGGTCACAGCCTAAGCGAAGGCCCAGGAAGGTGGTTAAAAATAAAGAGCACGTCAAGAGCACGAGCACTCAGTAATGAAACCGCTGTGCCGGCCACATCTTCCTGAGAAGCTCAGTCTCTGAGCCAGGCACTCAGAGCCAGCAGTGGCTCTAGGTGGAAAGTGACATCTGTGCCTGCAGGGCCAGAGTTTCTCCACTGCCTTTCTCCCACGATATGATGGTGCAGGGGTACGAACAAGAGCTCACTCATACCATATGCCACCTCACTTCCTGTCTTTGGCATACTGAGGCTCAGAAATGTCATGCTCGAGGTCACATATCTGGGAATGGCAGAGCTGAGTCTTAAACTGGGTCTATAAGTCCATAGTCTGTGCTTTTTTTTTTTTTTTTGGTCTTCTTGAGACAGGGTCTCCCTATGCAGTTCAGGCTGGCCTTGAGCTCACTTTGTAGCCCAGGCTGGCCTTGATCACTCAACAATCCTGCCTTAGCCTCCCGAGTGCTGGGATTATCAGTGTGCGCCACCACACTGGCTTGTGCTTTTTTTGTTTGTTTTTTGAGACAGGGTCTCGCTATGTAGTTCAGGCTGGCCTTGAGCTCACTGTGTAGCCTAGCTTAGCCTAAACCTCACAGTGATCCTCCTGCCTCAGCCTCCCAAGTGCTGGGGTTACAGGCATGAACCACCACTACAGTCTGTGCTTCTAAGCTATCATCCTAGCTCTAGAAAACTGTCTGATGAACTCCTAGAGATGGATTTAGGAATACACTGGAAATATTTAAACAACCAGCTCTCCAAAAGAAAGAATGAAGGCTTGTTTTGCAGCATTCACCACTTTCCAAGGTGCAAATACTCCCTCCGTGCCAGCATGGCATTCAGAACAGATAAGCACAATCAGTTCTTGCAAGTTGGGTGAGCAGGGAAGAATCCTAACCCTCCCTCCCCAGTCCCCAGCCCAGTGTGGTCACTAAAGCCCCTGAGACAGTCAAAGAGCTAAGGCAGGAGTGAATGAGGGCTGCGGAACCTGCTCCTCCAGCTGGGCTGCCCTGAGTCCTGGGAAGCTGCGGTTAATTTTTAAACCAGCCTTGCAAACAGTGCAGTCCTTCCACTGGCCCATCTGGCTTCCAGGGCTGGCTCTACTGTAACTTTCGGGGGACCTCCAGCAGCCCCTTCCTCCTCTGGTCTCCGTGTCTCCTCCTAAGATAAATCCTGGCCACCTTCACACTTGCCGGTTTGGCCTTTCCAGGAATCTTATGTGGCCAGTTTACTGCTGTTTTACAGAGAGAGAGGACTGGGCTGGAGAAGCTGGTGGATTTATCCAAGGCACAGCAGGGTGGCAATTGGCCTAGATGTGAACCCAGATCTGCCAGGCTCAAGGGCTTGCTCCTTCCTGGCCGCCTCGGAGGCACATTGTGCCCTGGGGTGTTTACCACTCACATTCTAGGATGATGCCCTTCACAGCTCCTCTGAGCAGGGACAGCTGTTCAGGGAGAAGCCCAGGCTGGTGCCATTTTGATCTAGCTGGGCCTCAGTTTTCCATCTGTGAAATAGAAGCACTTTCAAAGAAAGGACGCGGAAGCAGGTGGTGGTATTTAACGCTGGCTTTAGGTCCACCTTTAATGGTGACTTGATTCCAGGGGGACAGGTGCAGAGCAGTGTGGGGCGCCCACCCCCAATAGGGCAGATCAAGAGCCTGGGCCAGGAGATGGGGGACAGTCTTTGCGGCATAGAGCAGCATTTCCTCAGTGCTGTACTCTTCCTACTATACTTCCTGCCTGCTGGGTCTGGAGGTAGCCTCTTCATGTCCTGGCAAGCCTGCTTGCCATTTGAATATCCCCCTCCTCACCTGCGTGGTCCTTATAGTACATTTTCTTATTCACTTAAGATGAAACTATATGGATAAAAATAATTGCTCCTTCCACACTGTCCCTCCTGCCCCAGTTCCCACTCTGAGAAACTCAGCTCTAGGCCAGAGTTCCAAGTGTGGTGTTTGGCAATGACTCAGTTTCCCTATCTGTAAAACGGGAATAATCACAGGTTGCCTAGCCCAGGTTGTTATGGTGTTAAATCCTAAAGTGGACCTGAATCTCTTAGCATGGCCCTGCAAGGGGTGAGCGTTCCATTGGTGCACAATTGCCGGAGAGGTGGACTGGGGAATACAGAGAGGGGCAGCCGGAGGGTATTTTGGCGGATGGGGGCCGGGGGCGGGGAGCGCTCAGGGGCGTGGCGGGGCGTGGCTTCTTACCGGGCCACGCCCCTCGGACCCCAGGCTCTAGCTGCGCTGTTCTGTCCCAGGTCACCGGCTGGGAATCCGTGCCCGCGCGCTTCCTCCTTCCTCCTCCTCCCGGCTGCCTGCCGGGCCCCTCCTCCTGCTCGCGCTCTCCCTCCCTCCTCTTCCCCTCCCCGGCCGCCTCCTCCTCCTCCTCCTCCTCCTTTTCTCTCTCGGTCTGTCTCTCCCGGCCCGGAATCCATTCCGGCCCGGGAGCCGG